CTAGGCTCAACGAAGTACTACAGATTTGGTCGAAAAGTTAAATAATGTCTAATAGTCAATCAGTCAATTTTTTTTACTGATAGACTCCTAACTCCTAAGCAAGCACCCCTCTCTCCTACCAAGGGATGGACCCGGTTTAATTTGAAAACCGAACCATTATATCACCCACTCAGACTAGGGGTTGGTTTGCAACTGCTTTTAAAAAAGCACTTCTCAGCTTTTGGCTTTAAAAAAGCACTTATTTTTCCAAACACTACAACTTTTATTTTTCTCGGTTTCCGCATCAAAAGTGCTTTTACTTTTTCTATTAAACAAAAAGCACTTACTTTACCAAACACTATCCACTTTTACTTTTCAAAATCACTTTTTTCTCAAACACTATCAACTTTTATTTAATCACTTCTCTGTTGTTCAAAGCCTATGAAATACTATACGAATGTATAATAAAACTTGGAGAAGAAAAGAGGCTCAAAAAAACTACTTTCATTAATAATCAATAGGCTTTATATAGCCTTTTACAAGAATGAAAACAACCAAGCACGTATAACAACTATCTCCTATAATTATGCTAAGCCAAGTATTCAAATACGTGAGTAAACAAAGACCAAATCAAATGCCTAAACTTTAGCTAACCACTTAGACTTATTCAAAAACAATATTAATCAATAAAGAATAACTAAAAAACCAATATTCCACGTATGCATGCAAGCTTGATCACTTGCTCAACACCTCCCCTTGATCCAAGCTTGTCATCCCAATCCTTTTCATGAAAAATTGATGCTTAGCTTGAGGTAAAGCCTTAGTGAACAAATCTGCATTCTGAAACTCAGTTCCACAATATTGCAGAGCTATTTTCTCCTCAGCTACAAGCTTCCTAATGAAATGATGTTGTACATCTATATGCTTTGTTCTGGCATGAAAAGCTGGGTTCTTTGCCATTGCAATGGTGGACATGTTGTCACACCAAATCTCTGGAATTTCTTGTTGTTCACAGCACAAATCCTTTAGTAACTTCCTCAGCCACAATGCTTGTTTTGCTGCAGCTCCTGCAGCAATGTACTCTGCCTCAGAGGTAGACAAAGCCACTGTATCTTGCTTCTTTGAACTCCATGTAATAGCTCCAGAATCAAGGTCAAACACTGAGCCTGAAGTGCTCTTTCTATCATCAACACAACCTGCCCAATCACTATCAGTATAGCCTCTGAGTTTAAAGTGTTTTACACTTTCATACCATACTCCAAACTCAAGAGTTCCTGCCACATATCTCAGAATTCTTTTGGCTGCACCAAAGTGTTGCTTAGTAGGACAATGCATATACCTAGACACAACACTAACACTGTGTGCAATGTCAGGTCTAGTGTGTGTTAGGTAGTTTAGTCCCCCAACTAGGCTTCTGAACAATCTTTCATTTGCTTTCTCAGTTCCATCACATTTCTGCAGCTTCTCATTGGTATTCATAGGAGTCTTAGCTATTTCACAATTCTCCATATGAAACCTTTTGAGCAAATCCGTAGCATACTTTCTTTGGCACAAGAAAGTTCCCTCTTTTTTCTGTTTTACTTCCAAGCCAAGAAAGTATTGCAGAACTCCTAGGTCAGTCATTTCAAACCTCTGCTTCATTGAGTTCTTGAAATCTGCTAGCATACTTTCTGAGGAGCTAAAGTACACTATATCATCAACATAAAGACACACAACAATGAACTGATCCATACCTTGCTTCTTTATGTAAAGTGTTGGCTCATTATCACTTCTAGTGAAGCCACCGGCTATGAAGAATGAGTCAATCTTACTGTACCAGGCTCTTGGAGCCTGCTTTAACCCATAAAGTGCCTTCTTTAGCTTGTACACCTTTTCAGGTTCATTCTTCTTCTCAAAACCCTGAGGTTGTTCAACAAACACCTCCTCCTGAAGTTCTCCATTTAAAAATGCTGACTTCACATCTAATTGGAATACAGGTAACCTCCATTGAGCAGCTAAGGCTAGGACAACCCTCACAGTTTCAAACCTGGCAACTGGTGAGAAGGTTTCCTCATAATCTATTCCTTCTTGCTGTGCATAGCCCTTGACCACTAGCCTGGCTTTATGCCTTGATATGCTACCATCCGGATTGTATTTTGTTCTATAGACCCATTTTAGGCCTATAGCTTTCTTCTCCTTGGGCAGACTTACAAGCTCCCAAGTCCCATTCTTCTCTATAACACTCATTTCTTCTTCCATGGCCTTTTGCCATTCTGGCTTAGCAACAGCTTCATCAAAACCTGTGGGTTCTGCAGCAACTAGAGCAAAATCACAATTTTCATAGATATCAACCAAGGTTCTTACTCTGCGCGAAGGGGATTCACTTGATTCACTTGATGATGATGAAGGAGAACTTTGGTTGCTTGAGGAGGTAGAAGAGCTGTGTGGTGTTGAGGGAGGACTAGGCTGTAGAGGGTCATCAATAGGCTCATCAATTTCCTCTATCCTTCTCAAGCTTCCATCTGGCTTGATTCCAATCCCACTTTGCATCCTCATCAAAGACTACATTTCTGCTTATAACCACTTTGCTTGTGAGTGGATTATACAGTCTGTAAGCCTTTGACTGAGTTGAGTAACCAACAAAGATGCACTTCTCTGCTTTAGCATCTAACTTGGTCCTCAAGTTCACCAATGTATAGGCAATGCACCCAAATGTTCTTAGGTGACTGACTGAGGGCTTCTTCTGTCTCCAAGCTTCAAATGGTGTTGAATTCATCACAGCCCTAGTAGGTGAGATATTGAGAATATAGACAGCTGTTGCAACTGCCTCACCCCAGAATGAGTTAGGCAGCCCTTTAATCTTCATCATACACCTTGCCATTTCAACAATGGTCCTGTTTTTTCTCTCAGCCACCCCATTTTGCTCAGGGGTGTAAGGTGCAGTAAGTTCTCTCCTTATGCCATAATCATCACAGAATTGGCTAAACTCTTTGGAGACAAACTCACCTCCCCTATCAGTTCTTAGGGTCTTCACTTGCAGTCCACTCTGCTTTTCCACCAATGCTTTAAACTTCTTAAAGTTCTCAAAAGATTCAGACTTAGTCTTTTGAAAGTACACCCAGGACATTCTACTGCAATCATCAGTGAGGAGAAAGAAATACTTACTTCCTCCTAATGATTCAGTTTGCATAGGGCCACACAAGTCAGCATGGATCAGTTCCAAGCACTCGTTAGCCCTCCAAGCCTTGCCATTTGGAAATGACCCTCTAGCCTGCTTCCCATACACACATCCTTCACAGAATTCCAACACCCCAATGCTAGGCAATCCATGCACAAATTCCTTTGATCTTAGCAATTGTAAACTGTGATTGTTGAGATGCCCATACCTGAGGTGCCATAGTTTTGCATTTTCATCTCCTTTCACCACAAGAGCTTGACCTGCATTTCTGGTTAGGTCTAATGGAAAGACCTTGTTCTTCCCCATTGGTATCCTCATCACCACTTCATTCTGCTTGTTATCTTTGATGATACACATACCATCCTCAAACAAGATTCTGTAGCCTCCACATATAAGTTGACCCACACTTAACAAGTTATGGGCCAGATTAGGAACATACTGCACATTATGCAGCAATTTGGGCCTTCCTTGCTCAGTTGGAAGCTCAATTGTTCCCTGCCCTTCAACTGAAAGCTGTTTGCCATCTCCAAGCCTCACCATACTCTTCTTAGAATCATCTAGGTCCATAAACATGTCCCTAGAACTGGTCATGTGGTTTGAGCAACCACTATCCACATACCAGACTGATTTTGCTCCAAAATCACAATTATGTTGAGCAAGGAAAAGGTTTTCATGCTCAGCATAATTAGACTTGCTCTCAGTTCTTCCTTCTCCCTTGTCTTCTTCTTTCTTCCAGCATGAGGCCTCTTTATGGCCTGGCTTGTTGCAGTAATAGCATTTGATGGGGCTCTTGTAATTGCTCCCAGTTGGCTCCTCCTTTCTTTCAGGAGTGTAACCTCTGCCCCCTCTGCCACGACCTCTACCTCTATTGCCTCCTCTCCCACGACCTCTTCCTTTTCCTCTTGAAGATTACTGAGTCCTATCATGGTGAGAGGTGTCAGCTTTGGCTTGAAAAGCTGTTTCATCCCTATCTTCCTCTTTATCTTCCCTTTCTTCATAGGCCTGCAAAGAACCTTTGAGTTCATCAAAGGTGTATACCTCCATGTCCTTAGACTCCTCAATAGCTGCCACAAGATGAGAGTACTTCCTTGAAAGACTCCTCAGCACCTTACTTATCACTTGTTTAGATTTAACCTCCTCTCCATAGGATCTCATCTTCTGCACAATTGATGTGATCCTAGAGAGGTAATCATTGACAGTTTCCTTGTCCTTCATCTTGGCATTCTCAAACTCCCTCCTTAGGGATTGTAGCCTGACCTCAATGACTTTCTTGTCACCCTTGTATTCCTTTTGAAGAATACACCAAGCTTCCTTGGATGTTGAAGCTGCAGCAATCCGGGGAAAGACCTCATCATCCAAGGCTTGTTGGATGAAATAGAGAGCCTTTGCATCTTTCTTTCTTCTATCTCTCAAGGCTTGATCTGGTTCCTCCGGTTGTCCATCTTCAAACCCTTCATCAACAATGCTCCATAGCTCTTGAGACTTGAAGAGAGTCTTCATCTTCAAACTCCAAAAGTGGTAATTTGAACCCTTGAACATGGGTATTTGGAAGATTGAATTCCCATTGTTACCACCCGTAGTCTGCATTGTTTTCACTCTTGTTTTGTTCCTCACAATTTAGGCCCTCGGATAGCTCTATAGCTCTGATACCAAATGTTGTTCATCAAAGCCTATGAAATACTATACGAATGTATAATAAAACTTGGAGAAGAAAAGAGGCTCAAAAAAACTACTTTCATTAATAATCAATAGGCTTTATATAGCCTTTTACAAGAATGAAAACAACCAAGCACGTATAACAACTATCTCCTATAATTATGCTAAGCCAAGTATTCAAATACGTGAGTAAACAAAGACCAAATCAAATGCCTAAACTTTAGCTAACCACTTAGACTTATTCAAAAACAATATTAATCAATAAAGAATAACTAAAAAACCAATATTCCACGTATGCATGCAAGCTTGATCACTTGCTCAACATTCTCCCCATTTCATTAAAAAAAGCACTTTTTTAAAAGCAGAAGCTGTTGCAAACAGACCCTAGATTAATTGGAAATGAATCAGAACCTGTCTGAAACCAGTCTACTTCGAGTATGACTTCTAGTCCTCCAAAATGAGCCTGGACCACACCCTAGGGCAAGGTAGTTCAATTCATTTGGTTGGCCACCCTCTCTCCCATTTGACTGCAGTTTCTTTCTATGCAGTCATTCTTGGTCTGCTAGGTTAGACACAAAAAGAACCGAAAAAAATCTGGCTGAACTTGGTTTTGGGTGCTGTATTTTGGGGCTGTGCCCATGGCTGACTCCCCATATATACATGAACACTTGTTTCTGGGTGAAAAATTAGTAAGCCAGGTTGTTGTAAGGAAAAGGAAGAAAGAAAAGCATCTACTTCGCAAGTTCACTCTCTGCCTTCCGCCGTACCCGGTAACTGCTTACTGGTGTTACTGCCATGATACACTTATGTGATGATAGGAGTTGTATTTAATTAAGAATGTGTCATGAGAATTTCACTTTACTATAAAACACATGTAAACCAAGTAATCAGCTCTTAGAAGCAGATTGGAAAATGAAAACTGTAGTAAGAACGCCCACCAATGTTGTAACTGCAAGGGCAGCTGTTGGCAAGGGACTTGTTAGCCCAAAGTTCTGCAAAACCACATGAATAAATTACACATTAGTCCAAACAGCATTTGCAATTCAAAAACACAATATGAATGTATTCGTTACAGAATTACATAAAGCATTTTCTAAAATTTTGCTGCCAATTTGATTACAACTAATACTTCCTAAATCAAAATTTAAGATTGCCGAGACTGTTTACGCAATCCACTTGACTCTCTTTTAATCTCTGTTTTTTTATATACTACGGTAATAATCTTTTCTCGGCCTTTTCCGTTTAATAAAAATCCTAGGGTGGTTTCTGAATAAATAAATATTAAATATTTATAATATATACACACACACACTACGTGTTCTATAATATCAAGTGTTAACTTTTCATCAGCCACACATCATAAACAAATTGATAGCCTTGCGATTTCTACAAGTTATGTTTTAGAAAATAAAGCCAAGGATTAATCTTCCGAAGCATATAAATATGCACATGTAGGCAACCATGAAGGACATCTGTATATATTTTCCCTAATAGTTATCAAAAGCAGCCTATGCAATCCAAAAGACACTTAGATTTTAAGAATTGATGCAAAAATACCTCAAGTAGTCCTTTGCCAGTATATATTTCAACACCAACAGCAGCAGCAAATCCAATCATTGCAAATCGACCGAGCCAAATATCCAAACCACTGCTTTCATTGGTACTCTGCTCGCATCTTACTGTAATCAGTGCTCTTCTACTGGCAGGTTTAGTTCGATAAGAGGTCTTCAATACTGTTGTGAATCAGAAGCAATAAAGATAAAGAGTAGATCAGTTTACTTGTTAAGATCTTTGACTCTAGGTATCTGTCTTGTGTCTTAAGTTTTATAAGCTTGGTTCATTTATGTAGTAGTATAAGATGTTTTCACTTGGACTGAATCTTTTTTGTTTGCTCTGGTCTAGTCTGAATTGGTTTGGTAAGGTATGAACTATGAACAATATGATATTATGTCTATTTACTATTGTCTAGGTCTAGGCTGTTTGGGTATGATTTGTTTGGGACTAAAACCAGCCGAAGTAAAACATACAGAGTACTAAATATGATCACAAACAATATCATTATTGTGTATTTTATAAATCAAGATGTAGTCTACAGAAAGTTTGAGTTACCATATGTATAGTTTAAACAATAGTGATATTTTCCATAATCATGGGATAAACACCTTTAATTCAATTTTAGGGTTTACGTCTTACATTATTTTCTTTTAAATATATGCGAGGCAATGTAGGCTTTACGTCTTTAATTCCAGACCTTTGCATGCAGAAGCGGAGCGAGGCACTGAGCCAGCACAAAGAATATTTTTGAAAAAAAAATTACACAGAATTTTTAAGCTAAAAATTAAGGCAATTTTTAAATTTGGGTGGGTCGGGGCCTAGGCCCCCTAGTTCTGCCGGTGTTTGCACGACAATAGATCGTTGCACTAAATCATGTCATCTTTGTAAAAAAATAACAGCAGATTTCAAGAGTCAGAAATTTAGTCGCGGCTTTGAGAATTTTACATGATTTCAAGATTCATGTTCTTTACATGTTATTTACTTTATAAAGTATCATCATTGTTATAAATTCTTCTAAAAAGGGGTACCTTTGACATGCCAGATTTATTTTGGCATAACAAACGTTTAATGCTTATTCATTCAAATCAGGGGCGGAGCTAGGGGGGAGGGTCAACCCTGGCCCTGGCCCAACCCAAATTTTAAAATTGTGTAAATTTTTAGTGTAAAAAATTCTGTGTAATTTTTTTTCAAAAATATTCTTTGTACTGGCCCAATGCCGTGGCTATGCCCCTGATTCAAATCTTGTCATGCGAAATACGTGGTAGTTACTACATTAAGTCGTAATCTTAAAAAGTTTCCCACATACAACATTTCATCATTCAAAACATTCTCATTACTCCATATAATGGTATAACATGAAAGAGATAAGGGTCAGATAGGGTCTCGAACTTGAAAAAAAATGTCAAATAAGGCCATATTTAGGATGCTCTGTCCGGCCGACGCCATTTGGGGTGGTTCCCGGTAGAATTTTTTGATGATTTTTTTTGAGAATCTTATTCATTAAGTCTAGTTTACTCATATCAAATTTGAACTAAAACTTTAATCGGGAAGGCATTCAAATGAATTCTTGAAGATAACTGCACCGTTAAAAGCGCAGTTATCTTCATGAATTCATTTGAATGCCTTCCCGATTGAATTATTAGTTCAAATTTGATATGAGTAAACTAGACTTAATGAATAAGATTCTCAAAAAAATTCATCAAAAAATTCCACCGGGAACCCCCCCAAATGGCGTCGGCCGGACAGAGCATCCTAAATATGGCCTTATTTGACATTTTTTTTCAAGTTCGAGACCCTATCTGACCCTTATCCCAACATGAAAATATATCCTCAAATAATACTCTGTACTCGACCACTCTGTAATTGAGTAAACAAAAGTCCGCTACAAAATTTAGCCCCAAAAGTATTAATCAGACCTGTATATTCTAATTCATCAACAATGTAAATGAACTTCTTCCTACAATCCAACCCTTGCGACAATATGATTTGTATTGTGAACATAACTGTATCAAAATGTAAACTCTTAAAGAACAGCTCTTACAACTTTAATTTTGTACTACGTATAACTAAAGCACTATAAGAACCCAGACAGAAAAAACAAAGAGCACCTATTGCTCATAGGCTTCGAATCCTAAACATTTCTACATGCATTACCTAAGTTTAAAAGTTGCAAACTTGCAGCATTCTTGACACTATATTACATCAGCTACTCGTCTTTATTAGTCATTGTCTCAATGAGCAACGTTTAGTTAAATACACAGTATATGGTTTAGCAACGGGAAGAAGTTTCTAGGTTTTTAATACATAACCATTAGGGTGAGAAAACTCATGAGCTTGTTCTTTGACTAGATTCCTGAACAAACACCACAGCCGGGGCGCCATTAAGTACTCTATAAGGGATGAGGAATAAAGTCGAACAGTTTCTCTGCGCAAGTCTTTAAAACATAAAAACGTACGGAGAGACGCACTGGCTAGAGACTAAACGAATTCAAGAGAGAAAATGAATCCATACAAAGAGTGGAACCAGATGCAAAGGAAGTTCCAAACCGAGCTACGCTCAAAGTCTTAAATGGAGAGCTGATACAGAGCTTCACCGGCTGTGAGATAGTTGTAGTATCTGCAGGAAAAAAAAGGCAAGACAAATCAATTTTGTTGTTCTTGTTTCTATGTAGCTGTTTCTTTTTCTTTGTTGAGAACTACCGATGACTGAAGTGAAAAGGGAGCTGGAGATTTGGAGTGCGGCAGCCATGTCTACCGGCAAGAGATTATTGATGAAAGACCTCCCAATTTCTATCACCTATGTCGCCAAAGTCTCTTCTTTCTTAGCTTGTGGATCAGTGGATACAGTAATTCATTCGGAATAAGGTAAGACCGTGTATTATCCGTAGAAAAAAGGAGGGCCCATCCCTCGAACCCGGGACCTCTCCCTCAAAGTCTAAAACTCTCTAGTCTCTACATATAAGGTCAGTTAAATGTTTTCTTTTATGTCGCTTTCAGTTCCAGACCAGAACAGATCAAATCAAATTAGACCAGACTAGATTAAATTAAATCAGACTTTCATAGTTATAAAATATACAGATATCAGACATTTATCAGACTAGATCAAATCAGATCAAACCATACTAAACCAGACCAAACCAACAAATTTCAATCCAAAACAAAACATTCTTACCGCATTGGTATGTCTATTATTCATAGAAGAAATGACTCAAAGGTGCGTATACTTTTTTATTATTCCACTAACTTCGTGACTCTCATGTAAAAAAATGTGTTGGTTCAATTCATTTTAATTTTTTTATAAACTTTAATACACAGTTTTACTATATTACGTAGCATTAAATTTCTTAATTTTTTTGTGTTCATATATTGAACCTAAGAGTTCAAAGGCCCTTTTCATTTGAGCCTTGTTAATAAAAATTATTCATACTTGTCGAAAATATTGATGTATGTAATTGAAATTATTAGTCGAAAAGCTACATCAATTTTCCTTTTTGAGATTTTTAATTTCAATTTTAATATAGGTATCCTCAACTCTACCTCATTTGTACCCCATATAAAAACTCACCCCCACTTTTCTTCTTCCCTCTCTCCTGCACCCCCACCTCTCTAACTCTCTTCCTCCCCCCTCTCCTATTTTTCACGAACCCCCTCCCTTCCCCTTTCTTCTCCATTTCAATATCTTTCCCCTTCTTTAAAACTTCCCATTTTTATCGTCTTTCCCCTTCAACCTCCGATCTTCTCCTGCTTATCTCCTCCTCCACTGGTTACGTTGCCGATGGCGGACCTACGCCGGGTGCCAACGGCGGGCATATGTCGGTTTCCATTTTGGATGCAACCTCAATGGAAGACAACGATGAAGGCATACCAAGAAGTTTTGAATAACTTGAGCAACAAATATTCTTTTCTTGATTTTGTTTTCTTGATTTTTTATGTATTTGATATTTAATTGTTTGTCATTTGTTTATGGGAAATAAAAGGAGTTGTCTGTCTGCCAGACAACTTGAAAGTGCAGTGTCTGTAAGAGTCATGAAGTTGTCTGTCCTTTGAAAAATAAATGTATGTAATTGATATTTAATTGTTTTTCATTTGTTTATTAGTTGTCGGTATTCGTTTTGAGTTATCTGTAATGACTTGTCTGTTATGTTATTGTGAGGTGTCTATAAGAGTCGTGAAGTTGTCTGTAACTCATATTTAGTTGTTTGTCATTTCATTGTGAGTTGTATGTAATTTGTGGTGAAAAATAATGTCTGTCTGGTTATCTCTATTGTCTGTCTAGTAATACGTATTGTATGTCTTTTTTATGAAACATATGTCAAAATTGTAATTCACAATAAAGTAATGTCTGTATGTGTATACTTATTGTCTGTATGTGTATATTTAATGTTTGTCTCGTTATACTAATTACATCTAAATAAATAAACATCACAAATTATATACAGACAACTCAAAACAAATACAGACAACTCAAATCAAATGAAAAACAATTAACCATCAATTACAGAAAGACAGACACTGCACTTACAAGTTGTCTGTTCGACAGACAACTCTTTTAATTTCGAAAACACACCAAAAAACCAAGAGAAGAAGATCTGCTCAAGTCATTCAAAGCTTCTTGGTCTGCACCTTCATTGTTGTCTCCCCATGTATCCAACATCACCGGAGCTCTCCCCGTTCGTCCGATTACTGTAGCTCGTGCATTTGAAACGGAAAAAAAAAAGGCGGAAGAGGCTGGAGAGAAGCAGGAGAAGAAGTTTGGAGGGGGGAAATATGGAAAAAATGAGAAGTATTAATGATGGAAGAGATCTTGAAATGAGGAAGAAATCAAGATGTGGAGAAAAGAGAAAGAAAGGGGAGGGGATGGAGGGGCTGCGTGAAAAGAAGGAGAGATGGTAAGAAGGGAGAAGAAAAGTGGAGGAGGGTGGGAGGGGAGAAGAAAAGTGGGGGAGGGTGGGAGGAGAGAAGAAAAGTGGGGGAGATTTTTATATGAGGTAAAAAATGAGATAAAAGTGGGGTACCTATAGCAATTTTGTTTTAATTTTTTATCATTTGAACTATTTTTGTATTTGAAACTTTTTCCCCTACCTTTTTGTATCATTTTTCATGCCTTTTCACTTTATGTCATTCTCCTTTTGAGTCTTTACTCTCTTCATCCCGAAATTAACTTTCATCTCTCTTTTTTGAGATGTCCTAAAATTAAGTTTTTACTACATTTTATTTCTGCTTTTGGTAAATTTTTCATTACTTTTACTATTCACTTATCTCTTTTAATTAATTTGGACCACTACTTTTAGGGGTACTCTTGAAAGTCAAATTTTATTCTTTTCCTACCTAAAAACCCGTGAAACCAACTCTCTACCACTTAAGAGTTAAGGAGGTGGATCAAAATTTGACATCTCATATCAAGTGATTGTATAGTTGCTTTGCTACATTCTGGTAAAAACCTATATTTTTTTTGTATTTAGTATTTGAATGAAGCCATGATAGTATGTGAATCTATGAGTTCCAAATTAAGTTATACAAAAAATATATACTGCATTCAACTTTAATTAGTAAGCGTGGTATGTTAAATTTTATATTATCCACGAGTTCTATTTTGAAGATTATGTTTCATTTATTAATGTATTAAGACATTATTTTTTTAAAATGCTGTTAAATTTATCTCATCATAAATTTTTAAAATCTATTTTTAAATTTGTATTAATAAAAATTAAATGTATTAACTATTAGTAATGTATCAAAAATTTGTATGAATAAGCATAAAAACAAATACTCCGTATTACACTGGACATGAAGAGCCAAGCTACCCAAGCACGACCGAGTGAGCTGATAGCCAAGCATCCCAAATAAGCTACGCTTCAGTCAGACGTTGACCACACTACTCACTAGTCACTATGCAAACGCTGCTCTTGCCGGCTGCTCGCTCCGGCAGCGCACGGCCACCCTTGCTAATGATCTCACAGGTGGCGGCGGCGAAACCGTCGCCACTCAATTTCCTCCACCCCAAAGGTTCCCTCTTTCCTCTCCCTTTATCACAGACTCTCACTCTTTTACAGAACCGAAATGTTCTCTCTCCACAGCATCTATCTCTCAACTGCAGAGGGATTAGAGTCATTGCCGCCGCTAACGCTTCTCCGATAGACGATATCGAAAAAGCAAAGCTCGCTCAGGTCTCCTTTTTCATACTGTAAAGTCCGCTCCTTAAGCGTACACGTGATTTTCTTAGTAATTCTAGATGGAATTCAATGCAAATTATGCTTGCGCATTTGGAGGAATTTCAGGCACTTGGATGTATTCAACCGTCAATTTGACTGTTTTTGACGATTAATTTTCTGCTTAGGGTTTGAGCTTGGAAGACGAATTGTTGATAGTGTGTATATGCGATAAAAATCAAATTGAAATTCAATCCAAATATTTAAATGTGATCTAAAGCATGCTGCATTAAAAAGGATTGTTTTATAATCATTGTGTATGTCTTGTGTGGTCACAGAACCCTGCTACATTGAAAAGCTTCATACAGGAAATGTTTTTTCCCTGGCAATTTTTTTTAATCCCTTCTTGAAAGATAACCTCTGAGAGGTTCTTGCAATGATTTTTTTCTTGAACACATGGTAAGAGCAATGCATTTTAGAATGCCTATATATCTTGCATCATTCGGATAGTTGCTCATTTCTTGATTGAATTGTTTATAGGTTTCAAAGAGATTAGAGAGAACATCAAGGTATTTCAAGAGATTGGGTGGGTTAGGGTTTTGGGGGCAGCTGGTTTGCACGGTTGTTGCAGCTGGAATCCTTTCTTTATCCATTGCAATCACTGGGAAGATCACATCGCCCTTCACATTTTACTCTACTGCTGCTGGAATCTCTGCTGCTTTTGTTTCTGTTTTCTGGTCTTTTGGTTATCTTCGTTTGTCTGAGAAGCTTAAGAGAACGGCCAGTCAACCTTCAAAGGTAACATTCTATTTCAGTAACCTATTACTTCATTTGCTTTAAGTAGCTTCTGAGCCAAAATTGATTTATGGTATTTCTTTACCCATTTGCATTAGGGATGCAAATGAGCTGAGCCAAACTTAAACTTGGGTAGGGTTGAGTTCGGCACGATTGCCTCAAATCGACTATAAACACACACACGGCCTCCTTTCTTTAATAATTGCAACAATTTGATCTTTACTCTATTTATGTACTCTTTGTTGAGTCGTTCATCACCTTTGAATTATTAATGTATGAAAATAGCATATTGTATAAATATTTTTAAATGAATCTCATTTAAAATTTTAAATTATGATTTGTTTATAATTTTGACTAATAGGCAATTTAATACAGAGTATATTAATGGCAAGAGATGTTTGTTGGGAAACATGAAAGTCAAACTATTGTAACGAAATAAGAACGGGATAAGTGCATATATTAATGGCTCGCGAGTCATGAGTCAACTTGAAATTGAGATAAGCTCTATTGCTTAATGAGCCCGCTTGAGCTTAGTTTGAGTTAAATTTGACTAAATTTTAGTTGAGCTTTAACCAAGCGGCTCATGAATGGTTTAACTTGCTTAGACCCCTAATTTGCACAAGTGCGTGTGAAGATGGTGGTTCTCTGGCTAGTTCTTGTGTTCATGTGCTGATCAATGCTACTTAACTATGTTACTTTCAATTTGATGGTGTTTTGTTAATGATGTGATGCTTGCAAAATGCAAACAGTACAACTGAAAGAGGCATATTTGATCTAACTCAATCAGTCCCATTTTATACTGGTGGCTTGTCTTTTTAGGCACCTCCTCGTGAAGATGTGGTGAAAAGCTTGAGAAATGGGATCGGGTTGAACCTTTTTGGAATGGGTGCCACTCTGATTGGTATGCAAGCCACTGTAGGATTTTTGGTAGGGAAGGCCATTACTGCATATCCTTTTTATCAGGGTGTTGCTTCTGGTGGAAGTAC